CACTGACACCTATGGAATTTATTTTGGATATATAAAAAGATTTAAATATCATATGTCAATCATATAAGAAGACATCATATGGAAATGTAATAGAGGCATATAATATTTAAGTAGCTCACTTAAATTCTTTTTCCATATATTGAAGTCTCAATTTAAAAAAACACCATGCCTGTGTCCAAAGGGCTCCAAAGCACATGTCACCCCAAGGGAGGAAGACGAGGAAGGTGATACATGTGCGATACAGACACAGGCTGTGTTTCCAGAACGTTACCAGTAAACGCAGAAAAGTGCTAATACACATACCAAATAAGATGCAAAACTTAGGGGGGCTTACTCATTTTTTTATTTTAGAGAAAATTCTTGATTGCCCGCATCCTAAATTATAAATAACTGAACTTCAAAAAATATGTTATACTCCACATTGAATTTTAAATATTCAAAGAAAAAGGAAGTCTACCTCAGTTTTTAAAAAAGTGTGAGAAAGAATCCAATTTAAAAAATAATTTGGAATCAATTGAAAAAAGTTTCTGTGGGTTCTATATTGGAGTAATTTGAAATATTAAAAAATGAGTTTTATCACGAGTATAGAATTTCAAAGAGAGGCTTAGGAGCATTTACTAAGTTAGCTTGAGTCTTTTTATTTGAATGGAGGAGATACAGCACTTACTGAAATGCTGCCCAAAAACTTGCAGTATTCTATTTCTAGGTACTGTTCCAGTTATGCCAGAAAAAAGAACATGAGGAAAAAACTGGCCTACACAAGGCATGGGAGATGGAAGGAAGACAGGAAGGGTGGAATGAGGAAAGAGAAAAAGTGAAAAAGGAAGGGAGGGAGGGAAGGACAGGAAGAAAGGGGGGGAATGAAGGAAAGAAAGAGAAAAAGAGAAGAGGAAGGGAGGGAGGGAGGGAAAGAGAGAAGGAAAAAAGGAGCAAAGAAAGACAGAAACTGAGAAAGAGAAAGGGGAAGGAAGGGAGGGAGGAAGAAGGGAGGGAAGGGAGGAGACACACAGGCAAGGAGGATTCAGACATGGGAGGTCCAGCGGGCAACTAGCATGACTGACATTGCCAAGGGACCTCTCTTGAAGCAAGATGACAGAGGTCACAGGCAGTATGTGGCATCCATGTTTTCCAAAAGGCAACAGGCCTATCAAGGTTAAATAGTAACTTAAAACATGCAAATGTTGACAAGCCAGTACTAAAGACAATACCACAGCAGGAAACACAGCCAATAATCCCTAAGTCTCTATCCAACAGGTCTGCAAGGAAAGACTTTTAGTCAGTTATGTCATTTACTCCTAATGCAGTCCTGAAGGATCGGTACTGGGGGACCCATTCCAAGAATCAGGTATCTGAGGGTTAGAGAGGATGAGCATCCGGCTGAAGCTCTCATGTCGGGTCATGGAGCCCAGGTCTGAACCCAGCTGACTTCATTTTTTCATCCATTCATTCATTCTCTCAATACATATTTACCAACTGGGCAGTACAAGCTTCTGCAGGTCAGTTTCAGGGAACACAGACCAGTCTTTGTTCTCAGAACTTATCAATGTGTGAGAAAGGCAACCAATCATCAGCTCAATAAGCTACTGTCTAATCATAAAGTCCGGTAAGGACAATGGGCAGAATGGCTAGAGAGAAGCAGTAGAGAACAAGACAGGGCATCACCCAACTGGACAGTGAGGCTGCAGAGGTCCAGCTAAGGCTCAAGGGATGGGAGGTACCAGTCGCAGGAAGCAGGAAAGAGCATTTGTGGAGAGGGGCGATCTCATGTGGAGCAGCCGGGACAAGCTGCAGTTGGGCCGGCAGGCAGGGAGTTCAGGAGCCCAGACAGGCCACGGGCCAGCATGGCTGTGCAGGTCAGGAGCGCAGTGGCAAGGCCCAGGACGCTTTGACAGGCCAGCATGGGGTTTCTAGAAGGCCATGGTGCTTCCTGAGTGAACAGCAGGCAGCCAGAGGCGAGAGTAAAAATGGAGAGCCCAGAAGGAAGCAGCAGCAGGACTCGAGAGAGACAACGGTAGCACAGACGCGGCGGAGGCAAAGGGTAACAGGCACTGCCTCGGAGGAGACCTGGCTACACCTTGGTGGTAGAAGCGAGAGGCCTGGCTGCTGGGCTGGGTGCGAGGAGGGGCGGGGTGCGCCGGGGATGGCACTCACTGCTGCAAGCCTCCACACCGCTCAACTGTCTTAACATATTCCCTAAATTGAAAAGCTAGCTATAGTTATATTAGTGTTTTAAGTGACATTAAATGACTTTTTTATTTTGAGTTGGGGTCTCACACTCTCACCCAGGGTGGATTGCAGTGGCATGATCACTGCTCACTGCTGGGCTTAGATGATCCTCCAGCCTCAGTCTCCTGAGTAGCTGGGACGACAGGCGTGTGCCACCATGCCCAGCTAATTTTTAAATTTTTTTGCAGAGATGAGGTCTCGCTATGTGTCCGAGGCTGATCTCAAACTCCTGGGCTCAAGCAAACCTCTCACCTTGATCTCCCAAAATGCTGGGATTACAGGTGTGAGCCATGGGAGCTCCTTTTGGTACCCAACATGGGTTCCACAATCTCTCACGTGGAGAGTGCCTCGATTACACTAAACTCAGCACTCAGAGGACCACTCATCTGTCATGGAGGTGTACTGAGAACTGCCTGGTGGTGCCCCTCACTGTCGTGGGGGGTAGGGAAGAAACTAACATTTACTGACTTTTTACTGCATGCCAGGACTTGCTGTAAGTTATTGGATCTCACAGCCGAACTGCCACGAGAGAGGTCTTCCCTGTGTGTGGAGTTGGAGGCTCAGTGTCGCACCTGCTCTGTGTTTACCCAGCGAAGTGGCAGAGCTGAGATTCGCCCGTGGAGTTTGATGTGAAGCCCCTCTTCCTCCTCCACACCACACCCGAGGTCTTTCTGGGTGGTGTACTGCAGTCATGGGGGTGCTCAGCAGTGTGGGATTGGAGATTTTAGCACATGACTATTTATTTTAAAATGTGTCATTTGGCCAGGCACGATGGCTCACATTTGTAATCTGAGCACTTTGGGAGACCAAGGTAAGAGGATTGCTTGAGTCCAGGAGTTCAAGACCAGCCTGGGTCACATAGCGAGAACTATCTCTCCAAAAAATCAAAAAAATTAGCTGGGCATGGTGGCACACACTTGTAGTCCCAGCTACTCGGGAGGCTGAGACTGGAGGATCACCTAAGCCCAGAAGGTCGAGGCTGCAGTGAGCACTGATCATGCCACTGCAATCCAGCCTGGGTGACAGAATGAGACCCTAACTTTAAAAAAAAAGTCATTAAGTGTCATTTAAAACAATCACCCTCACCTCCTGACAGAGGGACTGTCAGATAAAATACAGAATACCCAGTTACATTTAGATTTCAGGTAAACAAAAATTTAAAAATATGTCCCATGCAAGAATTGGGACACACTACATTTTCTTCACTGTTCTGAAAATTCCAATTTAATTGGGTGTCTTACATTTTTATTTGCTGAAACTGGCAATTCTGTGACCAGGCAAGTCTCTACTTTACTGGGAATAAATTGTTCCAGACTTCTTTCTTCACGGCCCCTTGAGATGTTCCAACTCGTCTCTGTACGAGAGCTGATGTCTCAGCACGACGGTCATGGTGCTGCCTTCCTTCCAGTCCTACTTTCTTTGCATATTTCACACACTCCTTTTCAATTTTACCAGTAAATGTACAAATGTTCAAGGTCTACTGAATGGCATTCCTTAGACACAGAATCTTACTTTGTGGTCATAAAGAATGCTGGTGAATGAGTGTTCGTGTGTGTGTGTGTGTGTGTGTGTGTACACGTGTGGGTGGGGTGGGGTGTGTGTGCCTGCTGTGTTAACCTTTTAAAATGAAAACGATGCTAATGATACATCACCAGGAATATATTTTGTGTGTTTTCTAGTAGCAGTGAATTAAATTTGCATCAACATTAATGCAAGCTATTTAGATCTTATAGTAGCAGAGCCAGTTATTGAATACACTGAAAGAGAAAAGCTTTGAGTTCATTCAGTAATCACTGTCTATCAAGTTAAGAGCTGGAAATCCTTCAATTTAAAAATCACACTCTGTGAAAAGAATTTGAAAGTTTAGGCCACAGTTTTATCGTCTGAGTGTTCCTTCTGCATAGAGTCAAGTGTTTCAATACCCAGTTTCAGTACCGAGGGAAAAAATGAAGGGAAACATAAATCTAGTTAATTATATGAGACACCCAGAGCACTGTTCCTATTTGCTATTTATTGCTCCACAGCAAGATAAGAAGCTTGTTCCAGAATGAAAACCCTGCACATCAAGGAAGTGTTGCTATTAAAAACCTGTCAGTTGAACTAAACCAAGTATTTAATAGTGTGGTTGATTGGCATCCTGGTGCAAGCTCATTCTCTCATTGTGAACTGGCAAGACAAAATTCATAATGCTGGGTACAGTGGCTCATGCCTGAAATTCCAACATCTTGGGAGACCGAGGCAGGAGAATCACTTGAGTCCAGGAGTTTGAGACCAGCCTGGGCAACACAGCAAGACATCATCTCTACAATAGAAAATAAAATTAGCCATGCATGGTGGCATGCGCCTGTAGTCCCAGGTACTCAGGAGGCTGAGGCAGAAGCATTACCTGAACCCCGGAGGTTGAGGCTGCGGTAAGCCATGATTGTGCCACTGTACACCAGCCTTGGCAACAGAGTGAGATCTTGAAACACACACACACACACACACACACACACAGAAAGAAAAAGAAAAGAGAGAAAAAAATTCATAGACCGGTGCCAGTCTGGGGACCACATTCTGAGCAGCACTGATGTGGAAGACCCCAGAATTGCAAGCATCAGACCTTCAATACAAAGGTACAGCGGGGGGAACCTCCTCCTTGATCCTCCCAAGATCCTCTTGTTTCCTTGAAATAAAAGCATAGATAATTTTCCATTCTAGCAACCTAACTAGACCTAAACATCTATCGAAATGACAGCTGCCCCGGTTTCAGAAAGGAGAGGATGTGTGCTTACTCTTCTTGACGCAAGTCATTGACGCTGCGGTCCAGGGAGATCATGTCGCTCGCCACCATGTTAAATCCAAACTCTTTAATGCTGGCTTGGACAGCAGGCTTGAATTCTGGTCCCAACACCAGTGGCTTGGCTCTCTCTCCAGGGCCCCCTACCACCCCGGGAGGCTCAGGCTCTTTGGGCTCAAAGTTCCCGAGGACCCCAGGGCGGAGCACAGGGTCGTGGTAGGTGAATGTCTGGGGCTTGAACGTGAGATACTGCCGCTGCATGACGTCCTTCTGGGAGTCCCCGCCAGCATGGCGCTCCTGCTCATTCTTGGCCTTGTTTTTTCTCCTAATAGACTCCAAGTCCACTTCTACTCCTTCAACGTGCGGCCACGGCACCACAGGTTTGAATCTGTCCTCCCCAGGAGCTAGTCCATCGCCTCCTCGGTGGGGCATGGGGTCATTGACATCTCTGTCCTCCTACACAGAAGGGAGGGGACACACAGTGAGTACATGAAGGCAGACCTCCACAGCAGAGTTCATGACACCAACGTCCAGGCTTAAAAGGAGGCCGCAGCAACAATCAGACAGCTTAAAAGGTGAAAGACAGGCAGCCCCTTAATTATGACCTCCCATTAGAAGGGATCTTTTAGGGTAGAAGGAAATACCCAGAAATAGGCCATTTCTTTACTTTCTACTCCAGCATAAATTAATGCACACTTTTTTTTTACTTCACAAACCTAAATGTCTATCAAAGACCTCTTAAGAAAGCTTTCTTTTTCTTTTGAGTGAGGGACTCACTCTGTCATCCAGGCTGGAGTGCAGTGGCACAAACACCCTCACTAAAGCCTCGACCTCCTGGACTCAAGACTTCCACCTTAGCCTCCTGAGTAGCTGGGACTACAGGGACCACCACACCTGGCTAATTTTTTTTTTGTGAGATGCAGTTTCACTATGTTGCCTAGGTTGGTCTCGAACTCGTGGACTCAGGCAATCCTCCCACCTTGGCCTCCCAATATGCAGGGATTACAGGTATGAACATCAATAAAGCATATTTCTAAGGGCTAGAACAATGCAGTTTCAGGATCTCTGGTTAAAATAGACACTTAGTAGGCTACAGTGCACAGTATGTGGCCTTCCCTGTTGTCCAGTGAATGATAAATATAACCTTTGTAAGCAGTCAACCATATGGCGGCAGTGGCATTAGATGGATATGACTTGTCACCAGGTTGGCTTGGTGCCACAAGTGACTGAGAAACAAGATGTGGACGTGCACTCAGCAGTTCCAATTCAGTATTTTCTACTTAGTGAGAGTTCATCTAATTCAGAAACATAGAAAAGGCTCTAATAACCATTACTAGGTCTGCCTGGGTTTTTACATCACATCACATACCAAGTTTGCCCCAGTCCCGAGGTAAAGAGACTGCGTATAAGGAAATTCACAGTCCAGGGTGCCCCTCTGTTTGTGTGGACCCTCCATCACCCACATGGGTCTTCCAGCCAAAACCCCAAGTACGTTTGCTTCTAGGGTATCACGAGTTAATGCTTTTGCCACATCAGCCCTATGTCCACGCATAACAGGGCTTTCAATGCTAGCAACAACCTTGGCGGTTTGGTGTCTGTGTCCCACTCTCAGACACTATGATTTAATTCATCTGGGCATTTGGATTTTTGAAAGTAACCCCAGTGATTTTAATATGCACTTAATTCCAAGAATCACTAGCTTAAAGGGAGGGCTGCCAGCTCTAATTAGACTAGGGGATTACAGAGTACCCAGCCTTCCACACCAGGGCTGTGTAAGGGTCATCACAGAACTAGCACCATCTGAACATGTTTTTTTTTCTACTTTCATTCTCCCTCTTTTCTACAGGAGGTGCACCTGTAGTCTCAGCTACTTGGGAGACTGAAGTATGAGGACCACATGAGCCCAGGAGTTGGAGGTGGCAATGAGCTATGATCACTCTGAGGCAGGCATAGTTGGCATCATTTAGAAGTAGTTAGTAGGTTTTCTTAGGCAGGTCTAAATTAAAATAGGGTAAGCATTCAGACATCTTTCTTATCCATACATGATCTTCACCTGACTGACAAGACATATCAGACCTGAGCACCTTATGGGCTGGAATGTGGATCTAACAGCGCAATAAATCACAGAAATAGGGACTTGCCCAAAACACAAACACAATTCTCTAAGAAAAACCCAAATCTAATTTAGATTGTAAATCATTATTTAGAAGGTCCTTGTGACCTTAAAGGTTGAGCAATGGTAGTCAGAACTCGAGACTAGATACCTTGAGCCCTCTGCTCTTAGCTCACTGTTGCTTACATTGTTGTTAAAGTATTATTACAAAGCTTCTTGTCAATGGCAAGCACATGCCTGTTCTCTTAAGACAGCCATGCTCTTTGAGCATACTTTTTTCTTTCTCTGAAATTCTTTTCTGTGCAACATACTGCACCCCACCCGGTATCATCACCACCACACTCCAGTGTGGGCAATAGGGTGAGACAGTCTCTACTGGAAAAAAAGAAGAAAAAAACTATAGGAAGTCAGTAATTTCATATATGAATTTAGTAAGTGAGGAATGGTTAAAGATTGATTTTTGAAAGTTCAAAAAGAAAAGTTTGAAAATTATCTATTTGTTTAAATAATATAAGCATATGGCACAAAATTCAAAGGACCCAAAGGGCATGGAGTGAATGGCCAGCATTCCTGTCTACCTTCCATAGAGGCCACGACAGCTATCAGTTTCTACCATGTATAAACATGTGTATATGTAACAAGAAAAGCTTTTTTGAAGAGGGGACATAGATTTTTTTTTTTTTTTTTTTGAGTTGGAGTCTCACTCTGTCGCCCAGACTGGAGTGCAGTGGCCGCTCCCGGCCACCACAACCTCGCCTGCTGGGCTCCGGCGATCCTTCCACCTCAGCCTTCCGAGTAGCCGGAATTACAGGCATGCGCTACCACGCCCTGCTGATTTTTTGATTTATTGTAGAGATGAGGTCTCGCTGCCCAGGCGGGTCTCGAACCCGCGGGCTCAGGCAATCCACTCACCTCAGCCTCCCAAAGGCGCGGGATTACAGGCTGAGCCACCGAGCCCGGCTGGGACATAGATTTTAATTAACTCATTAAAAAAGAAACAGCTACAACTGCTTCAAAGGTAAACCCAAAGAACAAACAAATAAGTATCAAGAATACTGCAGAGAATTTACAAATTCACACAAAAGTGCTTAAATGGGTCAATATGCACAGGCAATAATCAATTGTATTCCACCAGACATGATTTCCTTGTCAACAGACAAGAATCCTCTGCATTGCTATCAGTTTTCTACAGTTTACAGTCTTGCAGAATAGCTCAAAGATGACAGAATGAGGTAACCCAGGAAGCTGAGTCTGATATAGCCAGTCGCCTTTTGAGACTGTTTCAAGGATTTTCACAATGTTTCCCCTACAACACAATACTAAATACAAGATGCAACACAGCCTGAATATATAAATATGATGTCTCTTCAGGTACACATGGTATAGGGTCAATAAGGGCTCTGCATCAGGCTTCTGACACCTCCATGGACTAAGTTTGAGTCTTACCTGTGAGCCCTACTGAAGGTCAAAAGTAACTAGGTAGAAGGCAGTCTTGCCAGAAATCTTGAGATTCACAAAGGACTGAGGTTCTCTTGGGAATTACCCAATCCTAAGAAAAGTGCAAGTTAAGCATAATTCTGTATCAGAGAGGTAAGCACTGAAGCTGAGGGTAATTCTGATGATGGTGTTTGCTTCTCCAATTTGTCTCCTGGCTCTTTCCAAATGATTTTTATAGCAGCATTTTAAGTAAATTAAAGAAACCATTAGCAAACACTGCAAGACACTGGACCCAAGTTGTTGATGCTGAACCAAGCATAACCCGAAAAGGAGAAAAACATTCTGCCCCACTTCAGTTTTTCACATCTCAAACTCCAGTAAATTAGTCAGTGGGGAGGTAAAAAATTGGGGAAGGAAATGTTGTTAAATACAGAAGAGTTGTCTGAACAGCTCAGATGCCAACATTGCAGCCATGGCATCCACTGAGTTACCTGACATTCCATGATGGAGCTGTATATTTGAAGAATGTGGAAGATAGTGGGTGAAGCCAAGGTACCCAACTTGAGAAATGTGTATTCTAGTCTAGGGTGGCCTATGCTAATGTGAAAATTGCAAATTTAAATATTTTTCAAATTCACCCACTTCAACAAAAGACGTTTGGGTGGATTCAAACTGCATGCTTTTCTTCCTCCAAAAGCTGTTCTGATCTTTTCTCTGACTTAATGGTTCTGTGCAGTCTCACACTGTTGGTGTTCTCTTGGGTTCTGCTAGAAGTCAAGTCTGCTTGTTAGTTCATCCTCATCCTGGGTGACTGCATTCTCTTCCAGGCTTGGCAACCGGTTTTTTGTTATGTTTTGTTTTGTTTTTGAGTTGGAGTCTCACCCTGTTGTTGCCCAGGCTGGAGTGCAGTGGCACGCTCATGACTACCCCAGCATAAATGTGCTAGGCCCCGGTGATCCTTCTGCCTCAGCCTTCCAAGTAGACAGAACTACAGGTAAGCAATACCATGCCCGGCTAATATTTGATTTATTGAGGAGACGAGGTCTCATCATGTTGCCCAGGCTGGTCTCGAACCTGCAGGCTCAGGCAATTCTCTCACCTTGACCTCCCAAAGTGCTGGGATTTCAGGTTTGGGCTACCACACCTAGTCAGTGACTGGTTAAAACCGGTCATACATATCATCCCTGTATCTACCTCCTGAACCACCCAACCCTTCAGGTGTCAGACCTTGTAGTTAACTTCCCAGGTCAGTTCATCTCTCTCCACTACCCAAAAGCAGACCCATTACCCACCTCACTTACAAACCTGTTTCACTTCCTGTCTTCCTTCCTTCAGGGACTGGAACCACTGCTCACTGACGTATTCCCAGACCTGCAATTCACCCTCAACTCCGTGTTCTCTTTTATCTACCCTACTGACATCCCACCACTCACAAATCCCTGTGCGGCTGATGAGCCTGGTTATTTCTCCCTAACATCCGCATGCCATGGCTTTAAATCCAGCCACCCTCACCTGTAAACAGGATAATAGCAATAGTGATAACAGTGATGATGGCAAACACTACGTTCTAAGTGCTTTACATGTTACTGAAAAGAGGGACCCTGAGAAACTCAGAATAAACTTAGTTCACATTTTGCCTCAGCATAACCATTTTTGCTTAGACTGACATGCTTTAAATCTAGCACAGGTTAGATACACATAGATAAATTTCCAATAAGCAGGTTTTAAGAAGCGTTCAGACATTTTACTGCATGCAGGCCAAGCTGGCAGCCTACTCCACCCGCTAGGCAAACCTCCATGAGATGCAAGACAAGGACAGCCCAACCTTTCAATTTATGGCTTAGTATAATAATCTCTAAGAAACTTTCAGGCCCCTTAACTGGCTAAAGTCATAGAAATGG